TAATTACAAATGGGGGAGAAACAATCTCGGAGATATTATCGAATATTAAGATACCTTTACTTATTTATATGTAAGCGGTTCGTTAAATTGACTTTGTCATATCTTCGCTATCCGTGGATCACGTCCTCTATCCCCAGCCGAAGCCCCTGTATAATGGGAACGTTGGTTCGTGATCCTGTGGACCCGGGATAGCTGTCGAGAAAACGTTTGATAAGAACTTTTGCTTTGTTTGAGTCCAGAGTTACATATTCCACCATAATATGCAATGATATGCTGGTTCTGTCCTTCAAAACGAAAATGCAGTTGAAATTGCTTTTTTGTCTACTACCGTGCTTAAAAAGCATTGCGACCAATTATGTGTATTTAAATAAGTATGTTCTATTTCGCGCGCAAAGATTAATTCCGTGATTTGGGGATACGAGTTTAATTGCTGTCAGTGCACCGGCCCTTTGATTAATGTGTTAAGGTTAGATGTGGTTAAGTGTCTGACCTGTCATGGTAAGGGGATGATTTCTCTTACCCTGGACAGGTGTATCCGCACTTTTACCGGTGTGAGATTTCCTTTTCTCTTACCCTGGACAGGTGTATCCGCATTTTTACCGGTGTGAGATTTCCTTGTCTCGCCCTAGGGTTGAGACGGGGGGATTCCCCTATTCCTAACAATGGCATGACGTCACTTTAACAATACATTGACGTCACGTCAACAATCCATCAACGTCACGTCAACCCTGAATTTAGCATGTAACGTTATCATTACATTGTGCATATGATACACAATGAAAGAACAGGGTAAGAGAAAAAGAATCATTCACCCCCTTGTGGATGAGATAGTGGAATCTGAACCCTCGGGGAAAGATTCTTTAGTTGCCAAACACTCGGCAAAGCCTCGTGTTTGGCAACTTAGGAATCCTCCCCCTCGGGTAGAGATTCTCCTATCTCACCCCCAAGGGGGTGAAAGATTCTATTAGTCTCACCCTAGGGTTGAGACGGGGGGATTCGCCTATTCATAACAATGGCATGACGCCACTTAAACAAAACAATGACGTCACGTCAACAATTAATCAACGTCACGTCAACCCAGAATTTAGCATGTAACGTTATCATTACATTGTGTATATGATACACAATGGGAGAACAGGGTAAGAGAAAAACAAATCACCCACTTGTGGGTTAGATAAGGGAATCTCAACCCTCGGAGAAAGATCCTTAAGTTGCCAAACACTCGGCAAAGCCTCGTGATTGGCAACTTTATAATCTTCCCCTCGGGTTGAGATTCTAGGGGTGAACTATTCTATTAGTATAATTGCACATGACAATTCGATAGGGATATTGTAATGTATCCATGTACCAAGTCAATCCAAATTCAGGCTCCTAGCTACGCACACGTAACACTGACACATGATATAACACACGTAACACTAACACGTGATATAACACACGTATAACTGACACATGATATAACACACCTATTGGTTGTATCCAAGAGACTTTGACATTAACACCGTTGGTTTCTTTTGGAGTCAATCTTTTGAATAGAATGCATATTTAACTTTTAACTAAATTGTAGACACCGGCCTGTCCAGTAAACTGCCTGACGTACACACTTTTCACGCACTTGTTGTTCTCAAGGGCTTCTAACTTATCGCGTATATCTGCCGTTAATGCTTCAGTGTCCGGAACGTGCATTGACCTACATATATGTATATATGCTCAAATATACACGTGCATGGACACGATGTACTTACTGGCTACTGTTAATGTTATTTACTAGTAACAGAATCAGGATATATACCCAGTAAGCCTGAAAGTCCCTCACTGCAGACATTACCATCAAGCGTGTTAGCACTAGTCATCAAAAATCATACTTATTCTCAATACATAAAATCAAAGCAGCTGTACTGACACAAGGTAAGTTCCGCATGTACCATTAAAATATTCCTTTTGAAATACGCGCGTTAAATCGTATAGTTTATATTTATTTCGTATAGTACAGAGCGGTTAAAAATATTGCAAGTCATCATTCCTGCAACGCATTAGACATATACTACAGTGCACGCGCACGTAGGTGTTCGTATCTTTCCATCTGTATTATCCCTACTGTGGAGGTTGTGTACTATTTGTTGCACTAAAACGTGTATGTATATTGTGTTTGTTTCTCTAGTTAAAATATCGATAGTACTATAATGTATCAATGAACAGCTTATAACACTTCTGTCAGACATTTTGACAGTCCGTGACAGTGTGTAAATTAAGCATAGTTTTGAAAGCCGAGAAAGTTTTGGAAAGAATTTGGGAACATATTGTAGATAAAATAGCCAAATAACAGAAAACACGAAAGACTGAACATAAAAATATGTTATATAGTCTGATGTGTTTCGGAATTTGTTACATTAATTGTTCAATATAGCTTAATTAACTGATACTATTTCCCAAAATCCTTCCTGCCGAATAAAGGATGTTAGTCTGCGTGGTCGACATCAGAAAACGGTCATCAGTGTCCCTGTACCTGTATGTACATGTAAACGTCGACAGCAAAAAACAGGCTGATATAGGATTTGCGAAACAGCTGCAGTACGTTAGTGATATAACTTTCATGTATCCGATATTTTTATATGGACATGACTAAATCGTTGCATTAAATGTTTCGCTTGGTCAAACTAAGAATTTCTATGATAAAAAATCATGAACAGCTTATATATGAAACACGTGTTTTTATATCTCAGAAAATAAATATGTGTATCCCCCGCTTTCACCGAAACGGTAGATATAACTATCGGTTTTCTTCAAACTTGGTCACAGGGTTATGCCTTTAAGGGCTTGGCCAAGTTCGATTACCAATTTCAGTGGACCCCATTTGGCGGAGTTATGGCCCCTTGAATAACGAAAATCGTCATTATCTGCCGTTTCTGTTCCTTAACTCTCGCAAATATTATCCGATTGTCTTCTAACTTAGTAACAGGGTTCAACGCATTAAGGGCTAGGCTACGTCTGACACCCACTTTAATTGGACTCCATTTCGCAGAGTTATGGTCCCTTGATTAACGAAAAACGTCATTATCTGCAGTTTCCGCTTAATAACTCTAGCAAATATTAGCCAAATTCTTTTTCACCCATATCGGGCACTCTTTAGTTTCCGTGTGATAATTGCTGTAGATATTGTGAAGATGTTTCAACCAAATTCCTTATGCACATCCAACTCATGCTAAGTTTGCCAATCGATATGATTTGTGCATATTTACGGATAATCAATGAGGTGTAGGGCTTTTTGTTTCAAGCTATACATTATGTCTCAACAGCTCGATACTCACATGTTTAAACCTAACCTCAATAATGTTAACCTACAATATGTCCTGCAAGCGGGGGATATAAATTCCACGAATTTGCTTGTTACAAATATAATTCACAAAATAATGCCTGCAAGAATTTTAGGAAAATTGAACTCAACACGAATCAAAGTAAAAACGTATGGAAACGAACCAGTTATACAACGGTTTATCTATAAAATCTTAACATATTGGAATATTTTTATATCGAAATAAAATCGAAATAAAATCGCTATAAATCTTAAATTTAAAATTAGAATAGTGTAATATTATAGTTCTAAACCGGATAAGGGGTGACATATATATCTATAAAAAAGAAAAATAATAATTACATATCGTATTTAAATCGTATTGTATCACAATGAAATTGTTAAACATTGAAATTATGCATAAGAACTACGGTTGATATATATTAAAATATGAAACTTTTCATATCCAAACAAAATAAATAAACTAGCTAAATACTAATTAAAATTAAATGTTAAAATTAAGCCATCAAAGCATTACAAATGTATAATATATTGATGAAAATACAAATTAAATCGTAAATTGTCTTAAATGAATGTTTATACATCGAAAAATAAAAATAACAGAATAATGTGTTAAAATCAAACCGTAAACAAATGGTATATAAATTGATAAAAAAAAATATCGTCATTTAAAACAAAATTAATATTTTAATAATATTTCGAAAAAACGAAACTAATGTTAACCTACAATATAATAATTCGTTTTAACGAAATAATAATTCGTTTTATCGAAGTAACATTTCGAAAAAACGAAATAATAATTCGGAAAAAAAAGGATTATTATAACTAGAAAATAATGTAAGAAAATAGAACCTTCAAAAATCTTTTTATAATGAAACAGAATTACAAGATATACAAACGTTCTGCCTTTGAAATATAGTCATCATAACGGAAACACTGATGAAGTAATTTGTTATATGGTTTGTGCCCGCCTCCTTTATCGTATGGGCGTGGTTTAGATTGTGGAGAAATAACCGAGCGTGTGTACTATCACAGCTTGACGTCTGTATATGTAGCTCTGACACAGTAATACCATTAGTATGTGGCTAATAAAATACCCAGCGATAAAACTTCAAGATAAAACTGATATCTCGAAACACTCGACGATAAAAATATAAGGTCGTTATGAGTTACGCCGTATTGCATCTGTACTGATGATCTTGTTTTGTACATGGCATAGAACCTTTCCACATGAAGAAATCAACACCCCAATTCCTTTTACATCTTATGCATGTTGGAAACGTGTTTATATATTTTTATTAATAACTGTGACCAAATGGTGAAGGCGGTAGGCTGGCCGAGTCCCAGCCGACAATGATATTTCAACTGGTTACACGTGCTCTATATATCCCTGTCACATAGGGTCGTTATGCAACGCCCTACTTATTATAAACACATACCATATATAAAATCAATTTTTCTGATATCCACGCTTTGAGTGGCATTTGAAAACTTTGTCGAGATAAAGGCCCTAGTAACCATCGTGTACCCGGCTAAAGAAGTATTTGATAGAAATGACCTGGTATATCCCAAACAGATACTGGGCAGGGACCTTTATCGACAACCTGTTATCAACCGTAACTCGGTACGAAAGCATGACCGTGTTCAAATGCTAATAAAAAATGTATAAAACGACTCCTTATTTCAGAATCGCTTGTACCGAAGACGTTTCCAGACTTCGGAGTCATGCAGCTGGACGAAGTTCTGGAGAAGATTGGTCAGTTCGGACGCTACCAGAAGATCATTTTCGTGTTGATATGTATCCCTGGTATAAGTTGTGGGATTGTAATGACGTTGGCGGTGATATTGTTGGGAGTACCGAACCACAGGTAAGTGACCTGGCTAGCTTAAGTGTACAACAACAACAAAAATAATAACAGCCGTGAAGTCATTGTAATACACAAAAACAGTTGTATACTTACGACAGAAAATTATTGTTTATTAAACTGCTTATCAATTTAAATACGAATACGAAATAAAATGATCCGGTTGAGGTTTAGGGAAAATGAAAACCTGCTGCACTAACTATACTAGTTCTAACAACACGTGTGTATTTGGTACTTGTTAGCATGACTTGGGCAGGTTATGTATAGCAAAGTATTAGTGGTTCGTACGGTTTTCCTCGGTGAAGCTAACACATCAGCTCTTCTGTGAAATCATGAAATAAATGACAGCTTTGTTGGCTACATTTTGAGCCAAATCTTGATGGTGCCGGTTTGAGTAAGAAATGTACAGCATTGCCTAGTAATAGATACGAGTAGACAGACGGATGTGTGGGACGTTACATGTAAAACAGAACATGTTAGTTCCCGCACACGTTCACGTACATGTATGATGGAAAAACGTGGACGAGTGTAGATAAAGCAGTTTGTAACCATTATCTTTACAACGTAAACATAATCAGACTTAAAAGTCACCCTATCCTAAATTATGTATAAAAACAAATAGAAGTCACAGTTATATCATAAAAAAATGGTTATATACGGTAAAATATCACAAATAGATATAACACCATGGTACAAAAATCATAAATTAGCATTACCCCATTGGAATATATCATAAATAAGCATTATTCAACGGTAAAATACCGGAAAGTAGCATAACACTATGAACAATTTAATAAACTAGCATCATACCATGCTAAAATCAGAAAAGGATACATAAAATCACGGAATTAGATTAGAGTGAAAGGCAACTGCCTCTTCGGCATAGGATATATGTCTAGGGCACTTTGATGTTGCGAGAAACTGTGAGAGAGCGCGAGAATTTACGTGATTTGCGGGGGGGGGGGGGGGGGGGGATCCTGTACCGGAACATTTTCCAGAGTTCAAAGTAATTGCTCTTTGATTTACTTCTGTCTTTATTTTTATCATATTTGTTGTGTCAAATACTAGAAAAATGTTTCAAATTGCGAAAGTTTATAGTGAACCTATAGCTTCACACCCGCCATCAACGTCTTTTGTTTGATGAATTTCTTGCTAATATATAGATTATTTGACATACGAGCTAATCCTCATTTCTTTTAGATATGTGTTCAGTCGCAACATGTGGTTTAAAGGGAACCCATACCTCTGAAATTGTAGTATTTGTATTCTGAACCTGGTTATTGATCGGCGTGTTTTCAATAATGGCCGCCATTTAGCCTTAGATAACCGATCGTGGGTGGGTTCATGAATGCATGTAATTTTCGGTTATTGATCATAAATATGTTGTTATTTGTTGACATAATTACAATCTGGTATATTTTCATGTACACAGAACGATTCAGTCGCATTGATGATCTTGAATGGGTATTTTTACGGCTCTAGATATTGACCCGAATTTATCGTGATGATTCCTAATTTCAGCATGCCCAAAAGAAAAAGGGGGTCCAAACTGCTTCAAAGCCTTACAAGTTTAATACACCATTCTACACCAGAAGAATTAACTTTAAATTATAATATGATTTGTACATTACCACTCAATCTTGTAAGTAATAAAACAAAGCTACATTTTCATCTGAAAGTTTTTATTCAGTTGTGTACACACAATAAGTACAATGTACATGAACTGTGTGCATGGAAAATCATTAATAAACATCTATTCACATATTGCAGGGCTTAAAGTTGATCCTTGATAAGCAATTTTTTTTTGTCTCCAAAATCACATCTCTAGATCTTTGGCTTAATTTGAATGGTCATGTCAATTTGATAGATTTTTGACCCTCTAAATGTGAAGAAAAATGTTGATGAAACGGTTGAAATTAGCCCTGTTCTTTGTATATATTATATAAAATCAAGCATATGGAATTTATTATTAGACATTAGGCAATAAACTCTCATATTCTGTGATAACCTAACATGTGCTTGTACATATATACATGTTTGTCATGATCTATTTTTCCCAAGTATATATTACTGAGTTAACACAAATGAACTAATAAACTATTCCAAGTGCATCTCTTTATTTTGTTAACCTACAGCAAAAGTTTATGTTGCAGGCTCTTGGTTTTATCTAAGTGTGATTGATATGAAACATGTTCCAACTTTCTCATATAAATAGTAATGATACTTATATAGCAATACATATTTTCTGTAATTGAGTAACAAAACTGACAAAAAATCAATTTTGAAAGATAATAATCAATTACATAGCAAAGGTATGTGAACCGCAAACTTTAATCTGTATACAAGTGTACACTGTGTATTAAGCTCAGGGCTTATTTGAACTGGATGTATAGCTCCCTTAATACTTGTTCTCTTTCTTACACAGCGCACACATCTAAATCAGTTCAAGAAAAATGTCTTGAAAAACACAAAAATAAAAGGCTACCAAAGAAAAGTTATCTGGATTAATGTAAAAAAAAGCTTAAGCACTTCGTCCAAAGAAGTTCTTTGGGTATATATTGATAATTTAAATGACACTGAAAATTGTTGCTGACAACATGATAGCTTTAACGAGTGGGCTTGGTACCTGTAGTACAACAGAGCTAGTGGTGCTGTCAACAGGATAGCTTTAACGAGTGGGCTTGGGACCTGTTGTACAACAGAGCTAGTGGTGCTGTCAACAGGATAGCTTTAACGTCAACAGGATAGCTTTAACGTCTGGGCTTTGTCCCTGTAGTACAACAGAGCTAGTGGTGCTGTCAACAGGATAGCTTTAACGAGTGGGCTTGGTACCTGTTGTACAACAGAGCTAGTGGTGCTGTCAACAGGATAGCTTTAACGTCTGGGCTTTGTACCTGTAGTACAACAGAGCTAGTGGTGCTGTCAAAAGGATAGCTTTAACGTCTGGGCTTGGTACCTGTAGTACAACAGAGCTAGTGGTGCTGACAACAGGATAGCTTTAACGAGTGGGCTTGGTACCTGTAGTACAGAAGAGCTAGTGGTGCTGTCAACAGGATAGCTTTAACGTCAACAGGATAGCTTTAACGTCTGGGCTTTGTCCCTGTAGTACAACAGAGCTAGTGGTGCTGTCAAAAGGATAGCTTTAACGTCTGGGCTTGGTACCTGTTGTACAACAGAGCTAGGGGTGCTGGCAACAGGATAGCTTTAACGAGTGGGCTTGGTACCTGTAGTACAGAAGAGCTAGTGGTGCTGTCAACAGGATAGCTTTAACGGGTGGGCTTGGTACCTGTTGTACAACAGAGCTAGGGGTGCTGGCAACAGGATAGCTTTAACGAGTGGGCTTGGTACCTGTAGAACAACAGAGCTAGTGGTGCTGTCAACAGGGTAGCTTTAACGAGTGGGCTTGGTACCTGTAGTACAGCAGAGCTAGTGGTGCTGTCAACAGGATAGCTTTAACGAGGGGGCTTGGTACCTGTAGTACAACAGAGCTAGTGGTGCTGACAACAGGATAGCTTTAACGAGTGGGCTTGGTACCTGTGTCAACAGGATAGCTTTAACGAGTGGGCTTGGTACCTGTAGAACAACAGAGCTAGTGGTGCTGTCAACAGGGTAGCTTTAACGAGTGGGCTTGGTACCTGTAGTATAACAGAGCTAGTGGTGCTGTCAACAGGATAGCTTTAACGGCTGGGCTTGGTACCTGTAGTACAACAGAGCTAGTGGTGCTGACAACAGGATAGCTTTAACGAGTGGGCTTGGTACCTGTAGTCCAACAGAGCTAGTGGTGCTGTCAACAGGATAGCTTTAACGAGGGGGCTTGGTACCTGTAGTACAACAGAGCTAGTGGTGCTGACAACAGGATAGCTTTAACGAGTGGGCTTGGTACCTGTAGTACAGCAGAGCTAGTGGTGCTGTCAACAGGATAGCTTTAACGAGTAGGCTTGGTACCTGTAGTACAACAGAGTTAGTGGTGCTGTCAACAGGATAGCTTTAACGAGTAGGCTTGGTACCTGTAGTACAACAGAGTTAGTGGTGCTGTCAACAGGATAGCTTTAACGAGGGGGCTTGGTACCTGTTGTACAACAGAGCTAGTGGGGCTGTCAACAGGATAGCTTTAACGAGTGGGCTTGGTACCTGTGTCAACAGGATAGCTTTAACGAGTGGGCTTGGTACCTGTAGTACAGCAGAGCTAGTGGTGCTGTCAACAGGATAGCTTTAACGGCTGGGCTTGGTACCTGTAGTACAACAGAGCTAGTGGTGCTGACAACAGGATAGCTTTAACGAGTGGGCTTGGTACCTGTTGTACAACAGAGCTAGGGGTGCTGGCAACAGGATAGCTTTAACGAGTGGGCTTGGTACCTGTAGTCCAACAGAGCTAGTGGTGCTGTCAACAGGATAGCTTTAACGTGTGGGCTTGGTACCTGTAGTACAACAGAGCTAGTGGTGCTGACAACAGGATAGCTTTAACGAGTGGGCTTGGTACCTGTAGTATAACAGAGCTAGTGGTGCTGTCAACAGGATAGCTTTAACGAGGGGGCTTGGTACCTGTAGTACAACAGAGCTAGTGGTGCTGACAACAGGATAGCTTTAACGAGTGGGCTTGGTACCTGTAGAACAACAGAGCTAGTGGTGCTGTCAACAGGATAGCTTTAACGGCTGGGCTTGGGACCCGTAGTACAACAGAGCTAGTGGTGCTGTCAACAGGATAGATTTAACGTGTGGGCTTGGTACCTGTTGTACAACAGAGCTAGGGGTGCTGGCAACAGGATAGCTTTAACGAGTGGGCTTGGTACCTGTAGAACAACAGAGCTAGTGGTGCTGTCAACAGGGTAGCTTTAACGAGTGGGCTTGGTACCTGTAGTACAGCAGAGCTAGTGGTGCTGTCAACAGGATAGCTTTAACGAGCGGGCTTGGTACCTGTTGTACAACAGAGCTAGTGGTACTGTCAACAGGATAGCTTTAACGAGTGGGCTTGGTACCTGTGTCAACAGGATAGCTTTAACGAGTGGGCTTGGTAGCTGTTGTACAACAGAGCTAGTGGTGCTGTCAACAGGATAGCTTTAACGAGTGGGCTTGGTACCTGTTGTACAACAGAGCTTATTATGTCAAAAAGAGGCTACAACGTGTAATATTTTGGTCACAGCAAAGACATTAAACATATCAAATAGACATGTCCTTTTGCAGATTCAAAGATCATTTTATCGAGTCAAAAAATTCTCAATAGTCATTAAATATTGACAAAATGCTGAATAGAGACATGGTGAAATGAAATTCAAAATCTCAATGAACTATTTTGTTCATTTTGGGAAAGTAAGGTTTAGATACACTTTTTTTAATTTTAATGTCACATTTTATTAATACAAATACATAAAGAAAAAAAGAAGCTACGGAAATGCACCATGTGGAGTAATTGCGAATAAGTTGCACCGAAATATGTTTATGATTTACATATACTTGCTTAATTCAATGAATTCATGATAATTCAGCCATACTTATTTTTGTGTAGGAACTCCGAACTATCACTTGCTGTGATGTTATCAGATTAAACTGAAATCATGTCACAGAAATCAAGAATATATTTCTGTATCACAATATTAATGACAACAAGGATATACATGTGGAGATGATGGAATTCAGGTTTGAAACATGTCTTTAATTGTTGGCTTAGAAATATAAACTTATAAAAGTGTTCTATTTTCTAGGTACATATATTATTAAATGCCCTATTCCAAATCTCAAAATCTTGAGAATAACATACAAAGGTATAAGGTCAGGTGATGTTCTGAATTTTTCCAATAAATGGTTAAAAAATTAAAATGATGTGTAATAGGACAAACGTATTGCTAAACGTTTACCCTTTAAGTCACTTCTCCCACGAAGGTTTCGTTACCAATGTCTAATATACATAACGTTATACCATACTGATACAGATCACAGATAAACATACATGTGCTGTGACCCATATCAGTCTAGCACATGTACATGTGTATTAGATATTTGTAACAAAACCATGTGTTTCTACCGTGCTGTGTATGCCCTCGAAAGATCTCGATTTTGGTCGCTCTATATTTGTCTTCTTTTGTAGAATATATGTCTCTTATCACCTACGAAATCTTTAGTTTCATTTTCATAATCTGTATACATATTCTTTCATTAAAAATTATAAATCTAAATAAATATCACGAGACAAAATGTCAGTCATATTTGACAATGATGTAGCTGCTTGACATAGTTTGCGACATCATCACATGTATGTATCCATTTTCTGAAGTTTTAGCCACGATGATTACACTGTGTTACTTGCCTGTCAAATCAGTGCCACACTATCGGTCTCTCGTCACCTAGGTAAACAACGTGTTTATCGATACCGGAAATCGGTCTGCAAGATAGCACGCAAGCGCAGTAGAGGTACATGTAGATTGGCTCCAGCGAGAGGTCACAGGCCGTCACGGTTCGGTGCACAAATACAAGAGGTGGACAATACATACGCGAAATGAAAGAGGTGTTGCCAATCCCTGCTATCTAAGTCCGTGATAAAATGTATAAAATCACGTTTAAGTTTATAAAAATAATCTCTCAACACGGCAAAATATCATAAATCAGTAAAACATCGTGATAGAGTATCTCAAATTAGTATAACACCATGATCAAATATCATAAATTAGTATAACACTATGATCCACAATCATACATTAGTATAACACCATGATCAACTATCATAAATTTGTATAACTCCATGATCAACTATCATAGATTAGTATGACACCATGATCAAATATCATCAATTAGTATGACACAATGATCAACTATCATAAATTTGTACAATCCCATGATCAACTATCATAAATTTGTATAACACCATGATCAACTATCATAAATTAGTATAACACCATGATCAACTATCATAAATTAGTATAACACGGTGATCAACTATCATAAATTAGTATAACTCCATGATCTCCAATATTATACAATTATGGACTTCAGGTAAGGTCTATCCCTGATTTACGGACCTGGTCTGAACAATATTCACAGAGGCCGAAGGCCGAGGTGAATATTGTTCAGACACAGGTTCGTAAATCAGGAATAGACCGAAACCTAAGTCCACAATTGTTTTATTATATGACATTTTACAATGAGATAAATAATTTTTCAAGTCATAAACACATGGATGGCATGGACCATTTTGGAATCACTGAGTGAAGGACTTCAAATACAAAATAACATACACAAAAAAATATATTTTAGATTCAATTGATGTGATATTTAATTTCAAGTAAATACTATTTGCACAATCGACATCATCAATATTCACATAGTTCAAAGTTTGATGAGATAATTCATTTGTAGTTGAATTCAATAGTGTAATTGATAACAGAAATACAGCCTGGCTGGGAAATTACCTAGGCCTATTTTTAGTAGCGGTCTGTAACACTTTTCTATTTATAGGTCGAGTTCTGTAACATTTTTCTATTCATAGAACGAGGTCTGTAACATATTTACAGACTCGTCACATGGCCTCGCTCCTTAAATCAGGGCTGGGAATTAGCACCAGGCATATAATAACATAAATTAGTATAACTCCATGATCAACCATCATAAATTAGTATAACACCATAACAAATATCATAAATTAGTATAACACCATGATCAAATATCATAAATTAGTATAACACCATAACAAATATCATAAATTAGTTCAAAGCAAGTATTACACGACGCTTAAATACTATTATTTGGCTTATGCTAACATATATTACACCACGGTAAAATATAATAAAGATAGCATTATACGATGGTGGAATAGAATTAATAAGGATAACATCAAGCTAGGTATCAAACTATGGAAACATATCATAAATAAGTAGTACAAACACACTTTATCATAAATTAGTATAACACCAAAGTTATATACTGTATTATATATAGGTATTGCACTATGCTTAAATATCTTAAATCGATACTTAACCACTTCAACAATGGTTATATATCATACATTAATGTTAACAAAGGTTATTTATTTTACTTGATATTTCATAATGATAATCATATGTGGTAAGATTTCAATTATGACATTGCAAATTTATATAAATGTTAGATATCATGATTTGTTTGAAAACTTTGTTGTTAATCATGAATTGGTATAAAACCATATATAACGTATGGTTTTATGTTGAATTACTAATAAACTTGACTAAAATACCTTGCCTATGTATTTATCTACGATACAATTCTACGGTCATAACTGATTGATATTTAAATGTATGTGTGGAAGTGAACTAGTGTCACTTTGCATTCATATTTATCATAAGTAGTGGGTCCAAAGAGCGTCCAGCAAAGATTAGAATGAAAATGCTATGGCTATGAAAGGGAATGGCCGACTAGGGTTCCCGAAGCCGTTTAGAAAACTCATGAACCGATTATATGTGTCATCATCATGTAACAATGCGGGTTTATTTAATTAGATGCAGTATTCCTGGGTATGAGAATGACACCTACTCCATACAAGACTCCGTACATCAAGACTACGTGTCTAGGTATATCCCGCCATCCACGAAGGATACCTCTCTCATTTACGACGGGTGCCAATTATACAGTTACAACTCCTCCAGTACCACGTTCGACAACTCCAGTCATCCAATCAATGCATCTCTGGTGACGTGTGCGTCATGGGTTTATGACGATAGTGAGTTCTACGAAACGTTTGTTTCCAAGGTAAAGCATCAATACTGTGAAAGAACGCTTCTCGCTATATACTAGTACGTTACCATTGCATTTGTACATCCGCATGATCTTTTATTCAGTCTGCCTTTATAACACCATCAGATACCCGGGCTGCTGTATAATGTAAAAACACCATTGCATACTTAATACTTTTGACAGTCTGATAAGACGGATACTAGATGTAATGTACAACATAAAACACTATCAAATATACTTAATCTTCTGTACAATGTTATAACATCATCAGATACTCGGGCTGCTGTACAACATTAATACACCAACACATACTTAATATTCTATACAATGTTATAACACCATCAGATACCCTGACTGCTGTACAACATTACTACACTATCACATACCTAATCTTCTGTACACTGTTAAACACCATCAGATACCCTGGCTGCTGTACAACATTAATACACTATCACATACCTAATCTTCTGTACAATGTTATAACACCAACAGATACTCGACCTGCTGTACAACATTAATACACTATCACTTACTTAATCTTCTGTACAATGTTGTAACACTATTAGATACTCGGGCTGCTGTACAACATTAATACACCAACACATACTTAATCTTCTGTACAATGTTATAACACCATCAGATACTCGGCCTGCTGTACAACATTAATACTCTATCACATACTTAATCTTCTGTACAATGTTATAACACCATCAGATACTCAATGTTATAACACCATCAGAAACCCTGACTGCTGTACAACATTAATACTCTACCACATACCTAATCTTCTGTACATTGTTAAACACCATCAGATACTCGGGCTGCTGTACAATATTAATACACTATCACATACTTAATCTTCTGTGCAATGTTATAACACCATCAGATACCCTGACTGCTGTACAACATTAATACATTATCACATACCTAATCTTCTGTACAATGTTATAACACCAACAGATACCCTGGCTGCTGTACAACATTAATACACTATCACATACCTAATCTTCTGTACAATGTTATAACACCATTAGATACTCGGGCTGCTGTACAACATTAATACACCAGCACATACTTAATCTTCTGTACAATGTTATAACACCATCAGATACTCGGCCTGCTGTACAACATTAATACACTATCACATACTTAATCTTCTGTGCAATGTTATAACACCACCAGATACCCTGACTGCTGTACAACATTAATACACTATCACATACCTAATCTTCTGTACACTGTTAAACACCATCATATACTCGGGCTGCTGTATAACTTAACATCCCCACCAAATACTTAATAGCTTGTACAGTGGCATAACACCATCACATATTACAATGGAATAACCCCATAGCATACCTTACCTTCTGAACAGTGTTAAAACACCATCAGCAACTCAATCTTTCTTCACTGTTTCGGCGCATGTAACATTTTTTGAAGGAATCCCTTGTCCCTTCCGATACATGTTAATTATTGTAAAACGAACGCTTTTCACTAGAAAAAAATCACATCTTTCTGAATCAATTAAGTTTTTTCTTCTGAAGAAAAAAGTGTAAGTATACAGTGTAATAACACCATTATACTCACAGACTACTCTGTAACTTTATACATTTTTTAACACTGTCACATACTGAGACAGCTACGCAACGTTATAGGATCATCACATTGATTTGGGGAATGTAACATCAGTAATATCTATAATTTGTGACGTCATAAAGAATAGTTTCAAATTTTTGGTAAAGATAGAAATGGTTTGGTTTTGCATTGCTCTTCCCGTCAACACATTTATGAAATGTTGACGAAACAAAATCTCGCTTAAGTTCCCATTCTATCTGCATTTTATCGAACGTATTTGTTAAAAATCATGGGAACTCGTTCAAAATCCTCTATTTTTGCATTACGTTTTATTTTCTAACTCTCTCACCTGGCACTTAACACTTCGTTGAATCGTTGAATTCACGTTCAGTTCAAAGTCAAGATCCGAGACAAAATTGAGATTTGCATATATAAACCAGGTACATGCACATCTCATTACAATTACAACTATGTCAATTTTCTTTATTACAAAATTACAGAATGGATTGTAATCCTACATACACACATAATGCTACTGGTAGTGAATAACACAACAGCAATGACTTCAAAGTTTACAGATAATATCCTCATCAAATATCATATTAGCTTTAAAAACCATAAAGTTTTAGCAGTCTACTCTTAGAAATATATGTTATATTTGTTTTCAGCATGACCTGGTATGTGGCAGCCACTATAAAGTATCCACAGCTAAGTCAATCTTCTTCGGGGGTGTTTTGGTGGGCGCTCTCGTCTTCGGTTCCCTCTCAGACGGGTAAGGGTATACTTCTGACATGGTAACGCACACACACACACACATATATATATATAATCAGATAAATGTTTAATGACAATGCGACGATTATTCTGCTAATTCTGACAGGTACAATTGTATATGTTATATTATGATGTGGTTAGGAACATTTGGTATACTTCAGCACTAGCGCATTGCCCAGGTGTGCTGCAGTACAATATACCCGTCTAGGAAGGTATGCTGTGATAAATATTACAAAAGGCATCCATTACAAACGATGAAACAGAAATTGTAACTTTATGTATAAACATTTGCCGATTTAATAAAGTAAATATCAACAGTCATTCGTAATAAAAGCTTGAAGGCAAAGCCTTTCATCAGAAAATAAAACAAATATAATATAACAATCATCCATAGGTTATGAGAGTATTCATAAGTTGATAGCCAAATCATTATCAATCTGATGAAGTCGTATCGTAAAGATTATTGTTTATCGTCACAAACAATAATACAGCCTCAAATTGTCTTTACAGCATTGGTCGTAAAAAGACCATCATGGTTTCAATGGCGTTGCTATTTGCATCGTCACTTGGCCTGGCCTGGGCTCCGAACTACATTGCATACGTCATTCTGAGGTTCCTGGCTGGTATGGCATTCTCAGGCACATTCATTACAGCTTACGTCATAGGTAAGGTCCGTGTTAAGGATCGTAGGGTCTACAGAGGTATTCCCTGTGAGATTAAGTATTTTCTATTCTGGACGACTTCCAATACAACGGAACGGGGTCCAGTAACAAATGATGGTTGGTTAATTTTGATTTTCACGCATCAGAATACACAAACTGTGTGCCGTCAGATATAGTCCATGGCTGCTTCTGGTTAGCAAATCCCGAACTGAAAAATAAATATACACATTTCGACTAAAGTATTTCTTTTTAAAATGTTTATATGGACGGTCTTTATATCAAACCTACAGTTTAAGATTAAAATATCCACTTAGATCTAAGTAATTCTAAACGAAGTTCTTTGTTTCCATCATGTCATTCGTTATACATGTAGGTATACCGACGGCATCATATGCTATCTATTTGTTTGTTTGATAACAGTTTATTAATATACATTGTATCTATATTTTAATGTCTTCCGACAATTTTTCTTTAATTTCATACAGAACTGTTGAATAAGGTTTCAAATTCCTTTATAATAATAGCAGATGTATCAGCAATCCTTAAAGCGGTAGCCATGCATCGTATAACATTAAATTGCATTAAATTCGAAGGTAAATGCAACATAGTGTCTTTCCATGGAGAGACTCGCCCAGAACTTTTCAAACCATCTTGACCGTGTAACCATTTATGATTGAATTGTTATGAAACACGTGGCTATTTGTGGTGAATGCAATAATGTAGACAAACATCAGTTAATCGGCGTATGGAAAAGGTATTGCACGGCAAACAAAGATACTCTACAAAATTTCAAAATATTTTTACGTTATGATTAAATAATTGTTAATGAGACGGATGCTTTTTTCTCTCACACTTTACAGGAGCGTCCCTGTTTTGATCAGGAAAATGTGTCCCCCTTTGCCTGAAGAAAGGCTGTATTTCTGAAAAGAGTTTCTACCGAGTTATCACTTTATGTGACGTAACAAGAGTTGCGTCATACATTTGATCTCGCATTCCATGCATCCTCGTTGATAGCACGGTGCATATGTTTCACCAATACAACGTCATTCTACGGTAGAAACATAATCAATCCCTCCTGTGTGATACAGACAGAGAAATCTGAACCTTTACATACGATTTGTTAAAGTTTTGCTCTCGACCTGGCCTCAGACTAAGATTTCACTGTCTGCATCATACATGATTGTCATTTTCTTCGAATCTCGGACAAATAACACAACTGGCTGACTATGTATTCAGCTAACAGCATTAACCCATTCAGTTAATATGCGCCCTTAACAGCTGAGGAAGCATCAATATTTTTCTGTAATTCCTTTGTAACCGAAATGAGATGATTTTGCGTAGAGTGTACCGAAAACATAGATAACATATTAGCCTTTATAGAATGGATTGACCTTGTATCAGGGTTCAACATTTTTATTGTGTATGAAATAGCTCATTGAGCGACCGTTGCTGTGCATCTGATCCGAACATGTCTTGCATAATTAGGTTACTACGGAACGGCACTTACTTCAAGGATGTTCCATTTGACCTGCCCACTTGTAAATACCTCAGTCAACATCGCTTATAAACATAGATAAACAAACGCATGGAAAAAAATCATCAAAATACCGTGCTACGAATACAGAATTTAAACACATTCACCCGATTATTAAACATGTCTAATAACGCCATTTATAAATAAACACTGTAGCCATATAAATACCTAGCTGTTAAATGATATACTTTGTCATTATTTAACATATTCTATTGATTTATCGAAATTACAACAACAAATGTTATTATCGAACACGATGCTATAAAGTAATCATGTACACACTATTAGTATTTCTATTTATTAAAAATCTCAGCTTATGCCATTATCTTGTACATTGTACCTCAACAAGGACTTTATATATAAACAAATCAATCAATTTATACCAAACAGAATAACTTATGTCTTTGCAGGTGTGGAAATCGTTGGTCCAACAAAGCGTAAATACACTGGTATCATCAACGAAATTTTCTTCGCCTTTGGAGAATGTTGCTTGGCTGGGATTGGTTACTTAGTCAGAGACTGGCACCACGTGGAAATCATCATAGCAGCACCGATGGTCTTATATCTGACATATTGGTGGTAAGGTTACACACAGGCAAACATTTCATTTTGGTTTTTTCACATATTGACATACCTCAAATCTACTGAATTTAAACATGTTTCTTATTTTGTTTGTCGAAGGGCGTATACAACATAATTTCAATTTCACGTTGTCCAGCCCAAACGGTTTGTTCTATGCAGATGAAGCTTCAATAGAATATGTGATTATTTGAGTACATGTTCGTATACACAGAACAGCTAACAGAATTGGTACATAGTTATAAGCAAATCTACTGAGTAGCCGCGCCATGACAGCGTTGTTATCTATTTCTCCAAAATGTTATCACGAGCAAACATATTTAACTCAATTTACATGTGACATGTATAACCCCATATCTTGTCATGTGTAATCAGGGTACATTATGTAGGCTTTAACTAGTCAGGGTCTTTTGGACGCCTGTGTCCGATTTCTGAACATGGACTAAAAGTAATTATATATATACATATATATTATTTACCTCGTATTGGCTTCTGAAGAAATGAGATATAGATGGACAGGGTCTTATTAAGGCTACCTAGCATGTGTGTATGTTAAACACCAGCAGTTGGCACTCTTAAAAATTGAATGATATAAAACAGTGTATTTACAAATCGAATACGTTTATGTCTCTGATGTGTAATTCCATGTTGCTGGTAGGAATGACGCTCTGCAGTTAGTCAAACGTTTTCTTAATAATTTAATTTTCAAGGTTCATCCCCGAATCTCCAAGATGGCTCATCAACAAAGGTAGGTTTGATGAAGCAGAGGACATACTGAGAAAAGCAGCAAAGTTCAACAAGAAAGAGTTACCTGAAAAAATTCTGGACAGAGAAGTCAGGGACAAGCCAAAACAAGAGAAAATCTACAAGATATTCACGTCACGTATCCTATTTATCCGAACATTAATCATCCTCTACAACTGGTACGTGGCAAATTGCAATAACAGGAATAATATATAATGTTAGCACCTGATGGCTACTACAGACACAATAAAGTGGTAATTACAACAGGTATTGAATACATTTACCGCAATCCTCTTTACTACTGTATTACGTAGTTATGGTAAAGGTGACTATACCTTTTGTGATAATACTAATATTTGTATTACATATAAAACAACAAAATCATTATATTTGTTAAATATGTAAGTTTGATTGTGTTTCCTCCTATATGCCACAGTATGACAGTCTATGTCCATTTGTTTGTTTGTTTCGAGGTCCTCGCAACAGCCAGGATCATATCAGGACGGGTACCTAGCGAGACAACAGCCCGGGTCATATCAGTACGGGTATCTAGGGAGACAACAGCTAGGGTCATATCAGGACGTGTACATAGGGAGACAACAGCCAGGGTTATATCAGGACGGGTGCCTAGGGAGACAACAGCCAGGGTTATATCATGACGGGTACCCAGGGAGACAACAGTCAGGGTTATATCATGACGTGTATCTGGGGAGACAACAGCCAGTGTCATATCAGGACGTGTATCTGGGGAGACAACAGCCAGGGTTATATCATGACGGGTACCTAGGGAGACAACAGGCAGGGTTATATCAGGACGGGTATCTAGCGAGACAACAGCCAGGGTCATATCAGGACGGGTACCTAGGGAGACAACAGCTAGGGTCGTATCAGGACGGATACCTAGGGAGACAACAGCCAGGGTTATATCAGGACGGGTACCTAGGGAGACAACAGCTAGGGTCATATCAGGACGGGTACCTAGGAAGACAACAGCCAGTGTCATATCAGGACGTGTACCTAGGGAGACAACAGATAGGGTCATATCAGGACGGATACCTAGGAAGACAACAGCCATGGTCATATCAGGACGGGTGCCTAGGGAGACAACAGCCAGTGTCATATCAGGACGTGTATCTGGGGAGACAACAGCCAGGGTCATATCAGGACGGGTGCCTAGGGAGACAACAGCCAGGGTTATATATGGACATGTACCTAGGGAGACAACAGCCAGGGTCATATAAGGACGGGTGCCTAGGACGACAACAGACAGGTCATATCAGGACGGGTACCTAGGGAGACAACAGCTATGGTCATATCAGGACGGTTACCTAGGGAGACAACAGGCAGTGTCATATCAGGACGGGTACCTAGGGAGACAACAGACAGGGTCATATCAGGACGGGTACCTAGGGAGACAACAGCTAGGGTCATATCAGGACGTGTACCTAGGGAGACAACAGCCATGGTCATATCAGGACGGGTGCATAGGGAGACAACAGACAGGGTCATATCAGGACGAGTACCTAGGGAGACAACAGCTAGGGTCATATCAGGACAGTTACATAGGGAGACAGAAGCTAGGGTCATATCAGGACGTGTACCTAGGGAGACAACAGATAGGGTCATATCAGGACGGGTACCTAGGGAGACAGAAGCTAGGGTCATATCAGGACGGGTACCTAGGGAGACACCGCCTGAAATAGAAAGTAGATAGAAAAGAAAGAATGCAGGACAGATAGGAAAATAAAAAGGTCCCAAGTGTAGCATCGTGGGCAGCAGATCGATTGAAGTGTCTTCAATATCCCCTTCGTTGAAGACACAGAAAAGGTTAATCATTTGCATTTATTTTCACTTTAAGTTTAAACATATCCTGCCATTTAATGCTACGGAACTTTTGTTACAGGATGGTGGTGAGTTTAGTGTATTACGGACTGACCTTGAACTCTGGAAATCTCAGTGGAGATGTTTACCTCAATTTCTTTTTCTCTGGAATGGTTGAGTTCCCAGCTTACATTATCAGCATCATTTTCCTCGACAGGTTAGGCAGGAGAACACTGCACTGTACAAGTATGCTCGCTGGGGGCATAGCGTGTCTGTCAACAATTTTCACCGTTTTGTATGGCGGTAAAGGTATGGCAGGCATTCTTTGTTATTTGTTATATTTGCACTAAAAACACTTTTCTGATATGCTTTTCCCCGTGTTCAGATTTGAACTAACTTTCAAAGACTCGGTTACACACTTTTCTCTTTAAACAGAAATCAGTATAGAAATCAGCTGACGCTAAATGGGAAATTCCTTCCTATCGGCATTCGGAATGACTGCTGAACGGTGCTCCCGAAATGTACGCGTATGAGTGATAGTCCTTACCTTTATACTAAAGTTATTGAATGTTATCAATTCCTCCACAATAACAGCATGAGCATGTAATATTTTCGCCGTTGAAGGAAAGTTTTTTTTATTCTCCGTTGACGACATCTTGATTTACCCATGCATATCGTTGACAGTTAAACTTCAACTGTCATAACGTGATCTTATTTACACAATTTAATGGTTACGTTGTCATACACGACATTCATTTGCCCTGTTATCAAGCTAAATAAGACTTCTGCCGCGGACGTGATGTATGGATTCAAAAGTAGTTTATTGAAACACATTTGAACTGTTTAAAGCAAATATGAAATAGTTTACTTCCTGTTTCAATGTACATTTTATAGCCCTTTTTGTGTTTTAGTATTGACATTGTGTTAGTTTCGCGTGGTGTCTTTTGTAACATTATATCAAAAGCACAATATATCAGACTTAACTGTACACCAACATGATTCACTGGATGATGGAGTATTACAAATAAAGAAAAACACGGAAATGTAAAAAACCTCATATCGGACTTAAATTATCAAATATTTTCAAAATTTGTATGCCTAAAACGAATATACGTATTGATTAAATGATATAAATACAATACCCAATATACTGAGATTTTGTGTATTCCTCAGGAGCCCCCGACTCGCCTCTAGCTCTTTTGTTGAGGTTTGTTGTGTCTTTCCCCCTGTGTTGGTGTCTGCTTAGTTCCTTTTGTCTTGTCAAATATTAGATTGGATTTTGTCTATGTGTGTTAGTGCTGTTTAATCTCTTTCCATGTTCGTTGACATAAGTCGATTCATAGACGTTATAAATATGTTAAACTATAAATTCATTCATTCACTTCCCATTAAGAACCCCATTTGTGTGCAACATGTTTTCTATATTTACCTAAATTGACATGATAATCTCTCATTTTATTATGTAGTGTTGCAAGTCAGATTTTAGGGGATTAATTCAAATACGATAATTCAGGACTTCATCCATTATTACAAACAAATACCAAGTCAAAATGGATTTGGTAACCAGTGCTGACTTAAATGTTGTTATGAGGTTTAATCCCTTAAGATAGTGTTTGTAAAGCCTTTTATATTTAACATTAATTTGTGTTATCTCCCTTTGATCAGATCTCCAAACTTTAACAACAGTCCTAGCTTTAATAGGGAAGCTTGGGTCATCTGCGGGATTCGCCATCATCTACATATATTCTGCGGAGCTGTTTCCAACCGTTCTCAGGAATGCTGCCATTGGTATATTTTCGTGTGGTGCAAGGGTTGGTAGCATGGTTGCTCCTTTGATAGCAGATTCGGTACGTTTTTAACACATTGTTCAATGATATAAATACTTCTTCTTCAAATGATATTTATAAGATACACATGTTCTGTGTTAGGATTTTTCTTCGAAGCATACAAGCACATACTAAACATCAAAACTGTTTATATTGTATAAAAAGTGATGATTGAATAAAAAGTGGTATGCATCTGCATATTGGAAAAAAGCTGTACTAATGTTTCTAACGTCATATAAATAATCGAATACATTACTGATACACAACTATGGAACAATAACTCTAATTCTACTGACGAATGTTTCAGTCCCAACTCATTGGCGGTAAGATGGGCCAAGCCGTACCATTGGTGATATTCGGGGCGGCATCTGTCCTCGCTGGTATTCTCACAATGTTTCTACCAGAAACGCTTAATACACGGTTGCCGGAAACAATAGAAGATGCAAGACTATTCGGAACGTAAGTAACACCATGTCTCGTGGTACTTAAACAACGTAACGGGAGGTTCAGAAATACAATGTCACGAGAACTTCTGAAATACTTTGTAACGGGAAGTTCTGATATACACTGAAATGGGAAGTTCTGAAACACAATTTACGGGGAAGTTCTGTAAAACACTGAAATGGGAAGTTCTAAAAACAATATAGTTGGAAGTTTTGGAATACAATGCAACGGGAAGTTCTAAAAACAGTGTAAAGCGAAGTTCTGAAATACAGTGTAATGGGAAATTCTGAAAAACAATGTAACGATAAGATCTGAAATACTTTGTTACGGGAAATTCTCAAAAACAATGTAACGGGAAGTTCTGAAATACAGTGTAACTGGAAGTTCTCAAATACAATATAAAGGGAAATGACAAAATACTGAATCACAGAAAAAAAGATGTATGATACGATATATTGTACGGGTTTATAATTGTCTACGACAAAGCCTACATTTTAACATCCTAAGGTGCACATAAATATATTTGAGTACTGGCGTTCGGTCATATAAAATATATTTAGAACATTTGATTTTTAACATGATATCAGAGACATAAGACAATTTATATAAACATTGAAAACTCCTTTAAAAATTATAAAACAATTCTAGAAATATAAACCCCTCTTCAATATACCGTCAGCAACGTAAGTTGATTACTACACATTGACATTGCAAACTTTAATTCTTTCTGTACGTCATTTCTTTTCCAGGGAGGAATATAAACGAAAAAAGAAGCTTGATGTTCGTGATGTTGAAATAACTAAATTTTAGTAGGAATTCGTGCATTGCTCATTTGTATACTCAAGGACTTGTTTGATCATCTGACTGTTTATATTTATTGGGAGTGGCAATATGTCTAATACCCTATCGTGAAAATGAAGACATGTGATGGGTTTCAAGCATCTTCTCAACTTTTATAGGATAATGCTTTCTGGACATAGTAAGATGTTAATTTCATAATTCTACATTTCTTAGTTATCAGTAACGTAGACAAAGTGAATGGTAAAAAAGAACATTTTCAAAGTCGTCGGTATTGTCTAATTGTAGACTCAACTCGATACCATCATACCCACCAACACATTATTGTCATATTCGCAGCAGGGGCTATCATTCTCTAAATGATACAAGCCTTATGCCCCTTTTTCAACTTATATGTACGATATTGGTTCTTGTGAACTGCAAGGACATTAACTCTCGATACGTACATGTATTCTAACAGGTTATCAAATGAGTTTCTGCATTTTACGTAACTTTTGATAAGGCATTGTTTGTTGTCAAATTTTTATGGAAATCCAGTTAGTATTTGAGTCTGATTTCATATGTTTTTCTCTTTCTTGACACCGTTTATGTTATCGAAACTCGAAAATAAAAATTTAAGGTTTCGTTTTAAGAACCCAACTCACAGTTTGTAATAAGCATTGTATGCATAAACAGTACTAACATAACGAGGATGAATGCCAACTTATATTAACGATTAATGATTTGGTTTTTTTACAAAAGCAACCATCTACTTGCATCTTAGAGTATTTTGTCGGTATTTGGCACAACGACAAACTATATTGCATATCGATAAATTTGATTTTTAATTGTCACGATATTGTGTGTAAATAGTGTTGGCTACAACTGGCCATGGTTGTTTGTGCGTGTATGTATGATATAATGCAAGCGAACTCATAAAATCCATTTGTACGCAAGTTTTCTTCGATATTAATAAAAAATAAAAATTGCCATCTGCTTGTCAATTTTTTTGTTTGTATTACCTTTAACATAACTGTCACCGGTTGCTCAGCTATAACAATAACTAGGACAAGTTGTTTTATGTGTATATCTTTCCTTTATAATCTCCGAGAAACCTACAATAAAGCACAATACAATAAATACATTTACCCTCTCATATGCATACAATAAATACTATACAACTTCCGCGCCGACCGAGGTACCAGACCTCTGAATAGAGACCGCTATAAATATAGTAATTCTAATAACTAAATGTTATAACCACACAATAGTTATTATATGATACGGTTATACATACCGGGTATGATGTTCCTAGCCTGCTAATACATGCTGGCGGCAATGTATCCGTACGCCCTCTATATCATTAATGGCTCGGCTCTATCCGTAATCCGATCCGTCTCTCACGAGTCGGATTGAAAGAATGACCGCTGGGCAGTTAGTATCTACCAATTGCAAGTAGCCAGAATTATTCGTGCAAGGGGCATGTCCAAGGTCTACGTCGTAAGTTCAATTCAGTCAGAATGTTGAAACAGAACATAACAACAAAGGTACATGCATTCCGAACTGATGACGTCACATACACTGTTTACGAGACGGGACAACACACGTGTTTATATATATATACACACACTATATATATATATATATCATATTATATAACCCAGGGTTACATAACCATAGTTATGGTCACATAACTAATTCAATTTGTGACATCCAACATGTTCAGTAACACAAAACTAGCAGCAATTTCACACAACCAAGTTTTCCCCCAGGCCTACATACTAGCGATTAAAAGGGCAACAAAGCTTTAGCTTTGATAGATTCTTTTAAAAACTTTGGTAAGTTAAGAGCTGACCACTAATCCTGTTATTTTAAAAGAAGCATCTTTATGAAATAAACGACAGATTTTTCATGTGTGTGTATAGCGATAGGATCGTTCCACGGGGGGTAACTCGTATAATATATGTAACTGTCGATAGTATTTCAGATGATGTGTGTGTATTACGTCTCCAACTTAAATACCGAGGGTAATGTTGTGCGAAGACTGGTTACTGATTAATATTTTAATGAGTGATGTCAAACATAGATAAATGTACGCACAAAATTATAAACTATGATCATGAACTAACCTCATTATAGGGACTCTACAATCCTCTGATCGTACATGTATCTAAACCATTTTTGTGTTTTAAATTTTTTGTTCCTAAGCATTCGAAAAACAACCCAAATTACGTGTGTGCAGACATAGAAACTCGCTCTTACACTAAAGGTGAAAAGGGAGAATATTTGACCGGTGTACTTTATATTGACACTGGAAGGGGATCTCGAATAAGCTGTCACAAATTAGAATGTGCCGAAATAGCTTTTTTTTTTGGTCAAAGTTATATAAAGTAGAATTATGTAGTAATTGTCCACGCGACAAACCCTGAAATTATGGTATGCTACATGATAAACCTGGAGTTGGCAATGACCAAGCGTAATATAAGGAACCTTTATAAACATTTTAGCTAGTTTTGATGATGAGATGCGCTGCATTTTCATCGTGTTCACAATCTAGACAAAGTCAAAATCTTAACACAATATCAAATGTTATTTATTTTGAGAACTGATTAGCCCAAAACACATATAAATGTTCCCATAGCTATCTAAAAAGACCCACTTTGTTACTCATCAAGACTAATAATAGATTTTTTTTAAATTTCCTATAAAAATGTTGACAGGCTTTTCAAGAATGTACATGACTTTTTCGAATGGTCAAGCACCTACCGTCCAGTACTACTATTGACCGCATAAAGTAAGCTCTTGTGATATAGGAGAAACGGACCAAGGGGTCAAGTCTCATTATTATTGAGCTTGAATGGGTGTATGGCCTCATTACGGTCAACAAAGTATTGACAATGGTTCTTACTGCAACAAGACACAGGTCATTGGCATTTTCGTCAATTGTGAAAGAATAACCATTACATAAAGTACAATAGTGTGATGTTATCCCACGATCGCTCAGCTCGGACAATTACAGTATACCTGATCGTAAGGACTGACTGTCTATACTACATGTTGATCGTAATTATAAGTAGTTTAACGGTGATGAGAAACCAGCCAGTACCCATGTTTTATACACTATATGTGCTGACAACACACTACAGGGACCAATAATACCTATTCTATCAACTCTACTCTATGACTCATTCTATTTCTGTCCGATACTTCTAATTCAATGATATCAACACTAATAAATTTAAGAAGACACCCTTATTGTTTTCATATATATTTCACCGCTTTGCAAAATTGTTTCAATCTTAGAGGAATGCTTTATTTCATAAAAACATATAAATGAAGTTTGAATCGACAACGGCAAAGCCTGAATAATAATTATACTAATATAATTAAAATATTAATATGTCTGTCGGTATCTGACCTTATTGCATGTGTCCTCAAAGGCATCCTCCGCCCGAAAAAAAATCAACAAAAGGGTAATCAATCAGTGTAGGGTGTTACGGCCTATTCATTTAATAACGGTAGAATAGGAACTGTTTAGAATTACTGGTGTTCATCTTACCGGAGAGACAGAAGCTCAAAGGTGAAGAATAATTGACAACCTCTGATCACAGTCACGGCAGGTTCAATTTCCTGCCAATGCCGCAGCCATCTTTGTCCAATATGATCTGAGACCCATCTATATACCAAATATATTTTTTGTATGTGCAAAATTGATCAATGTCTAGATTTCAACCAATCTCATGCTAGACAGTTACGTCTGGAATACAGAAAATGTAGGATTTACTGCAGTGTTGCAAAGTTACCCACCTTCACACCAAATTTCACCGATATCGGATCATGTTAACCTTCCGACGAACAAGAAGCCAGGCCACAGGGGCAATCTCATCTATGTTATTGGTGGTGTTTCCATGCCAAGTGACATATATGATGAGTTGAATAAAACAGAAAATGTGAATATGAACCGAAATACCAGGAGAAAACACACGTGGTTCGGCAGGTGACCGAATGACTTTCGCAACCGTTCGAGGAATCGTATTGGTGAAAGGTGAGTGCGTTAACCGTTTAGCCAACCGACCACCTCAAGTAAATCAGGAAAAGAAATATCACGTCGTGATTAATCAATGTCATAATCTTATTTCAAAAGATGTATACAAAAAAACAACAAGAAATAGGTAGAAGCTAAAACAAATTTAAAGACACGGGCCCGCATTGAATCCAGGAGCTTTAAGCGGCTGAACGATTCCTAATTACTTTAATACCAGCCATAATGTGTGTCGTCATATCCAGAAAAAAACCCATTAAAACGAAATGGTCCTTTCTCAGATATCCGAAATGAATTTAAAAATAATATTTGTTTTTACCCACATAAAACTGACAGTCACTTGATCTGTTGACAGTTCCGTATTTCTTAATCAGTTCGTGACACATGTTAGTGAGAACACCCACAGTATTTGTTATGACAGCTGCAGAGAACACTTATTGTTTGACAATGAGTTTTTTATACCGCTGTTCGGTAGCCTGACTATTCATGGATTATCAGTGTTATTCTTAGTGAATCCTACTACGAATATATAGATAGTAGTACCTGATAGAAGTCGAACATTTTACAATACAGTCAGGTGGGTTTAGGTCGCAAAACGTCGTTAAGTATCGAAGTCCCTTATATGTGCACAAGTGACATTTTATTACGCATTCCTCTTCACTCCTTTTTTTAACTATTTTTTATATGTTGGTAAGCATATAAATAATGTGTTATGAGTAGCAATACACAAGTGCTAATACTAAAACTGGTTTCTTAGACGACACATACAGATGTTATACAAAAAACAAGAATAAATATGTTTACCACGTAGTAAGAATATAATCAGTTTTTATAAAGACTGTATAATGTACCGTATGAAAATCCTGTTTTTGTAGATTGTGCAATGGTATATATTTACATTTGCATAGCATTGTCACTATATAGCCTCTTTGAAAGCTGTGTCGTTGATGGGACTATAATTACCATGCAGCACGAGACACAATTCTTAGCGTATTAATACAACACTGACCGAAACTTCAATATCCAATGTAAATAAACATGACGGCTGCTGAAATATCGCTGGGCAATGTGAGACTTGCCAATGTCATTGTAAATTTATGTGCAAAATAAAAATACTTTTATTACAACAAAAACAAGACCAAGGTCTGCAATATCGTACAAAATGCACATTGGATTAAATCACCAATGCCGGCAATGGAAATAATTTTAACGCTCATGCAATTTATCATAAATATCGTCTGTTAAACTGCACTGATCAAAAGGGGTTCGTTACAAATGTCTGAAATACACATATTCTATAGACCTACTGACACATATGTTACAGACCTACTGATATAAGTCACATCATAAAAACATTTCAGACATTTGTAACGTACCCCTGTGCTCCGTCGCAAGATCACTCACTTCAAACGCTATCAGTTTCACGCGTCTCGCAGCCACTGTTTCCTCAGTTTCTGACGACATGTCAAATAACGAGGCTGTTATAGAATCTACCGACTGTAGTCAGATTCCCATACAATCAACAAATAAATTCACGCCTGGATTCTTCACAAATTGAGCAAAGAGAAAAGTTCCAAAAATAATTCCCTCGTGGAGGGCAAGGTCGGATTTACGGTGTTCATTGTATATATCCATGCGCAAAATTTGTAACGGGAAAAAATCGAAACAATTTCAAATCTAACTTCCAGCTCCGAGTTCTATTTATAAACTTAAATAACCCTATTGACATATCATACGCAATTGTATTGATACTGAATTGTGGAATAAAATTGAAGTTTGCCAATCAGCACGCGACAACACGCTGTTCCAAATATTGAACGAATTTGTGTGGACTGATAAGGCGAGGATTTTAACTTTTTAATATAAATTGTAAGTTAAAAAAGAACATAAGAAGCAGAGAAAACATAAATATAAGTATTGAACTGTTTTTGTATGGTATTTATGATCT